GCTGTATGCATTTTATATGATTAAAAGAATTTTCAATCGAAAAATAAGGCTATTGTTAGCTAATATTTTCTTTTGATCTATGCAAAAATTAAGATGTCATACAAATCTGTCTAGTGATCCACCTATTTTATGTCATACAATCTCCTGCAATACCAAACTACAAGGGAGGAATTTATTTCTGAATTTCAGCTAATATTGAATTCATATCCATAGTCTGCTGAGACTTTTGATGATTGGGCTAGGACGCAGGCAAAGAAGCCTATGTTTGGAGTTTTAGTCTATAACATCTTAATTCCCTAGATATGCTTCTATAAAATTCTTGCCTTAAGAATTCATTAAATGGCAAACATTACATATCTCACTTTCAGTAAAGACAGGATCAGATAACCTTTTAGCCTTAATTGCATCTTGAATCCAGGTAAGCAATTCCTTTGCACGTTCAGGATTCTTTTTCATAGAAAGAAGTAGATGGGGATTCTTCTATCTGCCTTCTTATACCCTGTACAATACTAAGAATATCCCTCTTTATACCATGCTAGAATATTTGGAAGATTAATCCCAAGTGGTTCATCTGGCTCATAATGCTTAATTCGAAGAGATGTTACTTCTGAAGGTCTCATACTCAACATTATAATTACATCTGCAAGATCCTCTCTAGTAGGAATTTTGGAACATCCATATTCTGAATTCTTTTACTCACATTTGCTAAGGAGAAATGTTTTGGAATTCTTGGTGTTTTAGCCATTTGTTTCTTAGTGTGCTTTCTCTAAATTTTATTAGACTCTTAGATACGATCCTTATCTTTAGTAAAGGTATCAATAATTGCGGAATCTACATCACCTTCTGATAACTTCACACAGAATGTTGACTGATGTGCAACACTAGCAACAATTTCATTTTGTTCATTACTTTTTGGATCCAATTTCCAATGATTAGCGACAATGTCTATAAAATCACCAGTTTTAGTGCAGTATTTTGCCCTTTCCTCTATGATAAGTTTTCCCTTTCTCTTATCTGATAAGAGAGCCTCTATCTTTTCTTGACTAAATGGGCGCCTGTTATTAGTACTTCTGGCAAGGGCAATCTTCACACACCTGTGAGCCATCCAATCAGGAAATAAAGCATCAAGTTTAGGAACATGTTCGCTTAATTATTCTGGAGTGGAATCAGCCGTCAGATTATGCTTTTCTAGGAACTGCTCTAAGACCAATATAAAGTTATTAGCTTTAAGTTTTCAGGTCTTTGGAGTAGCCGTTTTGGTAACCATGTCAATACTAACTATTATCTAGTTATATTATGTGAGAAAAAATTCAATTTGAAAAATTCCTTAATCCCATGTAACGCTAAAGCAAAGCAATTTTGAATATCTATAATAAAAGTGAAGATAAAGTTTTAAGATTATTAATATTAAAATTACTTCATATAGATCGTTTATCCTGCCAATACATTAAGAAAGATGATTCGATTTGTAAAAAGGGTGCTGGTGTGCTTCAGAATATGCCAGATACTATAAAGCCTATCCTAATAAAATATGTCTTATCTGTAATGAGTTAACCTATTTTCATACCGGAATCTGTAGAATACATAGTGGAATTTATAATGTTATCTGGCGTGAAAGCAAAAAAAATACTTTGATCAAAGACCTTTAGGAGAGAAAGCTTTCCGCTACTTTCTTACCATAATTCAGAAAATTTTCTGCAAAATAATTGGATTATCTCCTGTAGAAGCTATATTTCAAGAAAGGACTGAAGTATTATTTTTCCTGCCCTATAAAATCAAAGAGTTTCTAGATCTCATTATCTGCCTTTAGTCTGTATGGTAAAAGCTCTAATGCGTCTTTATCCCCAAAATCAAGTCCATTATATGATTGATGATTAATTTGATACGAACGTTCTCAGATTCGCTGTTCTTTAGGACCAATTAATTTTCGCTCACTTTTTATAATATATTCACAATAATTGCTAATAATTGCATTAATTGCTTTTATAGCTAAATTAAATCTGACTTTTCTTTTGCACGAGACTTAAAACCTAAAAGTAATAAAAACTGACTTCGAATTTCTATAAACTTTTCACATGATTGTGTGAATGCTTTTGATACTATATTACCAGAAAGGATACACTTATCGTCTATACTAGTAAAGCCTAGTACTTGAAAGAGTTCTCTTATAGCCTTCCAATGATTAGCTAAATATGATTTGTGCAAGTCTTCTGCTACTGATTTCTCAATATTCTCATTAGCTTTATAATGAGTATCTTCTCATTGCGCAATATCTTTGGCCTCTAACCCTTTTATTGCACTCTTCTCATCATAGCCTTATTTTCGAAAGTGAGATAACCTCAAGAAATATTTCCGAGGTTCAGGCGGGCTAAAATATTTTACAAACTTCTTATTGCAAAGATTATTCCAAATCTCATTGTCCATATCTTTACCATCATAAATATTTCACATATAGAAATGTTTAAGTGCCATAGTATCTGGGATACAGTCATACCTCTCTATAGCGAATTTTATATAACGAATTTTTTGGACAACTATATTAAATTTACCTCATTATAATGAACTAGCCAATCAAATTCTTTAAAAAATTCACTATAGCTATATAGCGAAGTTGAAGTTCAGGACATAAAATTCGTTATATCAAGGGTTGACTGTAGAGCGCTCTTGGTCAAACTTAAGATTTTCAGTTTCTTCAGGATCAAGATTTCAGGAAGTAGCAACCGCATTAAAATCAGATTCCTTGATAACTAATGCTTCAACTTTAACCTCATTACGGATCCTTTTGCGATTCCCTATAACACCTCAGCTTTCATCCATTTTTATATGTTAAAGAGAAGCGACTGTACTAGCTATAAGACTGCATGATATCTCAATAAAATTTCTTGCAGAAAAATGTTTTTGATGTTCAACTTCAAGGTATGATATTACAGCAGTTGATTGATCAAGTTTATATAATACAATATTTTTATCCTATTAATGATGCCTCCTTATTGCTGTAGACAAATTATTAGGCTGAGCACTCTTAAGCTCAGCATGAATATTTTCATAACCTGGTAAGCGAAAAAATCACTGGAATTTTTTTGATAATAGAAGGATAGTATACGCTTTTTACAATCATGAATTCGAAACATTATCTGGATAAATGCTTTGACATTTACCGGAGTTGTAACATTTGTAATGCCTATAACAGCATCAAAGTGATTAGTTTTTTTGAAAGAAATACCTGCTTCTACTGTACTTGTATAGGCTACGCAATCAAGCTCACCCCAAGCGGTATTTATATCTGAGAAGTCTTTTTTTGCTGTTTTCTTTCCATATCTCCATAATAATCACAGGCTCTGATATGAGAATTATCAGGCATTTGCAATTTAGAGGCTTTTTCTACTAATGCTCGGGCCATACTACAACTTGTTAGAATAAATGCCATGCACTTACCTTACTGTAAAAACTCATATCCTATTTGCATAGTTTCACCCCGCTATTTGGATCATAAAGATACTCAACAGTTTTATCTACAAGAGGCTAAAATTTATTATCAATCACTCGAATATTTTCACCGCAATAAGCTTTGAGAAAGGTTAGAGTTGATGCATTTGCAAAGGCATCCATTGCTAATACATGCTAGGCTGTTCTTAATATATCACGCATTGCGTTTTCAGATTCCTGTATATTTGCACCACTATTCATTTGATGGAGAATCGCATTGTTTTCATCCAAAATAGCTACTAGTGAGTGGGCTGAGAATTTGATATGAGAAAGACTCTCAACTTGGACTATGATAATATCCCATTTATCTACAAATAAGTTTGGTTCATCTTGATAGTTACAAATTCTGAATCCAGATGATTTAATATCATTAATTTTGCCTTGCGATTCATTACTAAGAGTTTTTCGATAAAGAAATCCAGATAATGCAAGGTAATTTGACTTTACTTTTGGCTAAGAAATTAATATGCTTTCTTATCCCTTTTGTTTTTCTCGTCATCATAGAAGAGCGAATTAAAGTTATACTAGGCTCTTCACTCAAGAAATTGGGATAAGCTTCTGGAAAATCTTCCATTTCCTTTACATTAATAACTTCTCCATATAGTTTAAAAAGTGAGCATGGTTTTGCTATAGCATTGGCTATTCTATCAACAATTTTTTGTTTAGGTTTTTCTTTCAGCTTGATCATGTCTGATGCTTTTCCAAATGCCAGTCCTCTATGATCAGGTTTATATTGTTTCTGCTGATAGCATCTGAGTACAAAACACCTATCACTTCGAAGAAAGCCATATAACTGATCTCTTTTATATTTGATTTCGCAAATAGGACATATTTCATAAGACTTTACTTAGAAGTTAACAAATCCCTTCTTAATGCTATCAACTTCAAGCCATCCATATTTTGCCATAACTAAACCAGCTCCCTTGCTTAAGGCAGTTTCATCTTCGATAAGCTGAAATCTCTCTTCTCTTTTTGGCTTTTCAGAAGAAAAGGTTCAAGGCCAGATTTCAGAATAATAAAATTTGGATTGAACCAAATAATCCTCTAGCTTGCGATATCCTTTCTTAACTGAAGAAATTGTAAGTCTTTTAATTCTATCTTCTTTTGCTGATCCAAGAAGATGAAGACTAAAACATGATTTATAAAGCGTGAGATCGATAAATTCAGAATATGGTTTTCCAATCCTATCAGCGACTTTTTCTACAAAACCCCTGAGATCTCTATAGTCAATAAAGTAGGCATCAAAACATACAATATGCCAATTGCATTTATCATCATTAGATGAACTAGCTAAAGCAAAAGCATTTAAAGTTATGAGATGTTTAAAATCAGAATATAAAATATCAGTGCAGGTAATTAAGATTCTGGATAATAAATCATTACGAGAAATTTTATATCTATCTAAGGAAGGAAATTCAGGATTCGTGGGATCAGGCTTCTACCTCACATCAATATCGAGAACTAGGCGAAGAGGCAGGTTCCTGTCAATACATTTATAAGCATCAGGAATCCCATAAACTTTGGATGAGTGATTGATTAGTATAAAACCCGATCCTGCCACCCGAATAATATATTTGGAAACAATTTCTTCAGGATGATAGGCTTCCAAAAGTGCCATATTCTCTCTAGTATTAGATACCAATAAATGTTGAAAATATGTATGATCATTATAACCCAGCTCGAAATCAAGGTCTGCTACACCTGAAAAGAGTCTTATTACTTCATGTATCTCTTCAAGATTGGGTTCGAATTTTTTTTGCGCAGATGCAAGTAGCATGATAATAATATGATAACAAAGTATAAAACTATATAGAAAATCGAAAACTTTAAATAAAAAAGCCATATTTGCCTCCTTCTTTAAAAGAAAAGCTTTCTGATTATTTTGGATCAATAGTAGTATCCAAAAGTAATTGAAGTGGTAATATCCCAAGTAATTGAAGTAGTGATATTCTAAGTAATCAAAATGGTGATATCCCAAGTAATCGAAGATACCCAAAAGTAATAAATATGGTAGTACCCTTTTTCTCATATTTATTTGAAAAAAGACTCACGTGATTTTGACTGGGGCGTCCTGACTAAAAATTGTCAAGAAAAGGGAAGGCTATCTCTTGCAGATCAACAGATTAAGAGAGGAAGATCTAGAAACTTAAAATATAGTATAGATTTGGTAATATTCCAAGATAGAATTATATTAAGGAAAAGAAATAAGAAATTATAACTTGGGGTATCACCAATTTGGTATTTCGTGTTGTTAGCTTAAACGGTTCGTCGTTAAGTTAACTAAGATTATTTGCTAACAGGGAGTTTAAGTTCGTCTAAACTA